GCGTTTCCTCTGACAAAACGAAGCGACGCCCTGGGCAATGATGGCCTACACGACGTGCTCAAGGCATTAAATGCGCCGACTAGCCTGCGCATTTAATGCCCCAGTTGTCAATCACTTCAAGAAGAATGAAAAGGGTTCATCCCTTGGAATCCATTCGGCCCCTACCCATGCCGAGGCTGAAGAATAAAGGGATGTGGGGGCAATGTTTGTGCCTAATAAATCACGGCCATGAGCTGGCCGAGGAAACCCCTTTTCTCGGCCCCGGCCCTTGCTCGTAAAAACCAAAACGCAGCGTTTTGCCAGGGTAGTTCGCCCTCCTGAAGACAAAAGAGGAAATGCTAAGGCATGATCATCTCGGCCTCAAGCGCAGGCCGAGGCCGAAGCCAGGCAAATTCCGGCCAAAGCATTAAAGGCAAATCATCACGTGACAACAGGGTCCCAGGCTTCATTTAATGAAGTAGTGCCTGTTTAATGCAGCAAACCTTCAGTTTTTACGAACAAGTGCCAGGGCCGAGAGAAAGGGCTCCTTTGGCCAGCTTATGGCCGTGATTTATCAGGCACAAACAAAGTCAGGATTTGGTGATGAGGATCAGAGTGATTAGACGTGGACATTCTCACAAGAATTCTGACAGCCTGAGATATTGGTTCACCGGCTATCCAGGCCATAAATGCGTCTCCACGGCCAGAAGCTCAGAACCCACGATCAAGAGCGGCGGCCAAGATTCACCGAGATTTCTGGGGTCACACCACCATACTTCACGATCCCAAATGTCGATTAGACTGCCCACTTGCTCTAATCAGGCTCCACCATGCAGATTTTCAGCCTCGATTACTCCTTCAGGGACTCTCCCTATAAATACAAGGCTCGGACTACATTCAAAGGGTTCAACACCAAAACAAAGCCTCCCACGGAGCAACTTATGTTTTCCTGTAATACACTTTCAATATCTTTACTTGCTTTTCTAGGAGTAGTGTTAGGTTGTAAGGAAAATCCATTCATCAATATATCATACGACCCTTGACTTTCAAGGCGCCGGAGCACCATCCTTGTTGTTCGTTCACTCACCCCATATATCACACGACCGCCGCTCCCTGAGCAGCGCGCCGGAGCACCGCCCAAAACCCGCCGCCAACACCATCACTCAACGGCCTTGTAGTTCAGGCCGTGAACCTAACAGCCGAGACCATTTCCTCTCTCGGCTACAATCGTTTGATTAGAAGACGAGTACAAACAGGCGCACCACTTACCCATCCAATACTCATCAAACATCTCGACGCACGGTAGACTGTGCTGGCACGCCCTCGCACAACCGCACCGCACCCAAAAGCAGGAAACCGCGTGTCAACGCACGTCCCCTCGGCCCGGAAACCCAGGCCGTGAGATTTGCGCGGCAGACAGTTGGCTAATACAGGTGCTAGAATTAGTCAATTTGATTTGAAACAATATCAGGATTCAAATTAGAGATTCAGGATTCAAAAGGGTAGAAAAGATCTGCTAAAACAACACTGAACCGGTTCAGCTAACCCTGTCCGTACAGTGAGCTAGGGTTGGCGGATCCAAGGGCTACGAGAGGTCAATTTGATTGGGAAAAAGATGAGAATTCAAATTAGAGATTGGGGATTCAAAAGGGTAGAAAAGATTTGCAAAAACAAGACCGAACCGATTCAGCAAACCCCGTCCGTATAGTGAGCTAGGGTTGGCTGATACAAGTGCTAGTAGTGGTCAATTTGATTGGAAAAAATATCATGATTCAAATGGGTAGAAAAGATCTGCTAAAACAAGACTGAACTGGTTCAGCTAACCCAGTCCGTACAGTGAGCTAGGGTTGGCTGATACAAGTGCTAGAAGTGGTCAATTTGATTGGAAAAAATATCAGGATTCAAATTAGGGATTGAGGATTCAAATGGGTAGAAAAGATCTGCAAAACAAGACTGAACCGGTTCAGCTAACTTAGTGCGTACAGTAAGCTAGGGTTGAGTGATACAAGTGCTAGTAGTGGTCAATTTGATTGGAAAAAATATCAAGATTCGAATGGGTAGAAAAGATCTGCAAAAACAAGACTGAACTGGTTCAGCTAACCTAGTCCATACAGTGAGCTAGGGTTGGCTGATACCAGTGCTAGTAGTGGTCAATTTGATTGGAAAAAGTATCAGGATTCAAATTGGAGATTGAGGATTCAAATGGGTAGAAAAGATCTGCAAAAACAAGACTGAACTGGTTCAGCTAACCTAGTTCGTACAGTGAGCTAGGGTTGGCTGATAGAAGTGCTAGTAGTGGTCAATTTGATTGGAAAAAATATCAGGATTCGTATTAGAGAATGAGGATTCAAATGGGTTGAAAAGATCTACAAAAACGAGACTGAACCGATTCAGCAAACCCAGTCCGTACAGTGAGCTAGGGTTGGCTGATACAGGTGCTAGAAGTGGTCAATTTGATTGTAAACAATATCAGGATTCAAAATAGAGATTGATGATTCAAATGGGTAGAAAAGATCTGCTAAAATAAGATTGAACCGGTTCAGCTATCCCAGTCCGTACTGTGAGCTAGGGTTGGCTGATACAAGTGCTAGAAGTGGTCAATTTGATTTGAAACAATATCAGGATTCAAATTAGAGATGGAGGATTCAAATGGGTAGAAAAGATCTGCTACAACAAGACTGAACCGGTTCCGCTAACCCAGTCCATACAGTGAGCTAGGGTTGGCTGCTACAAGTGCTAGTAGTGGTCAATTTGATTGGAAAAAATATAAAGATTCGTATTAGAGAAAGAGGATTCAAATGGGTAGAAAAGATCTACAAAAACGAGACTGAACCGGTTCAGCTAACCCAGAACGTACAGTGTGCTAGGGTTGGCTGATACAGGTGCTAGAAGTGGTCAATTTGATTTGAAACAATATCAGGATTCAAATTAGAGATTGAGGATTCAAATGGGTAGAAAAGATCTGCTAAAACAAGACTGAACCGGTTCAGCTAACCCAGTCCGTACAGTGAGCTAGGGTTGGCTGATACAGGTGCTAGAAGTGGTCAATTTGATTGGAAACAATATCAGGATTCAAATTAGAGATTGAGGATTCAAATGGGTAGAAAAGATCTGCAAAAAAAGGACTGAACTGGTTCAGCTAACCCAGTCCGAACCGTGAGCTAGGGTTGGCTGATACTGTCTGCCGCGCAAATCTCACGGCCTGGAGTTCCGGGCCGAGGGGACGTGCGTTAACACGGGGTTTCCTGCTTTTGGGTGCGGTGCGGTTGTGCGCGGGCGTGCCAGCACAGTTTACTGTGCGTTGATGTTTTGGTGAGCGTTGGATGGGTGAATGGTGCGCCTGTTTGTTCTGTCTTCTTGGTCAAACAATTGTAGCCGAGAGAGGAACTGGTCTCGGCTGTTAGGTTCACGGCCTGAACTACAAGGCCGTTGAGTGATGGTGTTGGTGGTGGGTTTTGGGCGGTGCTCCGGCGCGCTGCTCAGGGAGCGACGGTCGTGTGATATATGGGGTGAGTGAGCGAACGAACAGAGGTGGTGCTCCGGCGCCTTGAAAATCAAGGGTCGTATGATATATTGATGAATGGATTCTGCTTACAACCTAACACTACTCCTAGGAAAGCAAGTAAAGATATTGAAAGTGCATTACAGAAGAAAATAAGTTGCTCCGTGGGAGGCTTGTTTTGGTGTTTGAACCCTTTGAAAGTAGCTCGAGTCTTGTATTTATAGGAAGAGTCCCTGGATGAGTAATCGATGCTGAATTTACGCATAGTGGAGTTTGATTAGCGCAAGTG